TTGTAGGATTTGAAATAGCTCAACTGGAATTCCATCACCTCCACTAGCTTTGTCTGTAGTGATGCTTCCTAAGGCTCACTTGACTTCACATTCCAGGATGTTTGGCTCTAGGTGAGTGATCATACCATCATGATTATTTGGGTTGTGAAGATCTCTTCTGTATAGTTCTTCTGAATATTCTTGACACCTCTTCTTAATCTCTTCTGCTTCAGTTAGGTCCATACCACTTCTGTCCTTTATTATGCCCATCTTTGCATGAAATGTTCCCTTGGTATCTCTAATTTTCCTGAAGAGATCTCTAGTCTTTCCCATTCTATTTTTTCCCTCTCTTTCTTTGCACTGATCACTGAGGAAGTCTTTCTTATCTCTCCTTGCTAGAACTCTGCATTCAAATGGGTATATCTTTCCTTTACTCCTTTGCTTTTCACTTCTCTTCTTTTCACAGCTATTTGTAAGGCCTCCTCAGAGAGCCATTTTGCTTTTTTGCATTTCTTTTACTTGGGGATGGTCTTGATCCCTGTCCATAGTCCATCAGGCAATCTGTCTATCAGATCTAGTCCCTTAAATCTATTTCTCACTTCCACTGTAAAATTGTAAGGGATTTGATTTAGGTCATACTGAATGGTCTAGTGGTTTTCCCTACTTTCTTCAATTTAAGTCTGAATTTGGCAATAAGGAGTTTGTGATCTGAGCCACGGTCAGCTCCTGGTCTTGTTTTTGCTGACTGCATAGAGTTTCTCCACCTTTGGCTGCAAAGAATGTATCAATTTGATTTTGGTGTTGACCATCTGGTGATGTCCATGTGTAGAGTCTTCTTTTGTGTTGTTGAAAAAGTGCTTGCTCTGACCAGTGCGTTCTCTTGGCAAAACTCTATTAGTCTTTGCTCTGCTTCATTCTGTACTCTAAGGTCAAACTTGCCTGTTACTCCAGGTGTTTCTTGACTTCCTACTTTTGCATTCCAGTCCCCTATAATGAAAATGACATCTTTTTTGGGTGTTAATTCTAGAAGGTCTTGTAGGTCTTCATAGAACCATTCAACTTCAGCTTCTTCAGCATTACTGGTCGGGGCATAGACTTGGATTACCATGATATTGAGTGGTTTACCTTGGAAATGAACAGAGATCATTCTGTCGTTTTTGAGATTGCATCCAAGCACTGCATTTCAGACTCTTTTGTTGACTATGATGGCTACTCCATTTCTTCTAAGGGATTCTTGCCCACAGTAGTAGTTATAATGGTAATCTGAGTTAAATTCACTCATGTCAGTCCATTTTAGTTTGCTGATTCCTAAAATGTTGATGTTCACTCTTACCATCTCCTGTTTGACCACTTCCAATTTGCCTTGATTCAAGGACATAACATTCCAGCCTCCTATGCAGTATTCAAGATCACTGCGCAATAAACTACGTAGAGCTATGTGCCACTATGCACCTGACTGAATGGCTACAATTAGAAACAGATGTTGAGAATAAAAAGGACTGATGGGACAACTAGAACTCCAACCCATTGCTGGAAAGGCTGTAAACTGGTGCAGCCACTTTAGAAAAAGTCTGGCAATTTCTTACAGAGTTAAATGTACCCATCACATGGCCCAGAAATCCCGCACCATTGTATTTACCCCAAATAAATGAAAACTTACATCCACACACACACACATCTGTATGTGAATATTTACAGTAGCCTTATGCATGATCACCCAATGCTAGAAACAACCCAAATGTCCTTTAATGGGTGAACAGATTAAAAAACAGCATACAATGGAATATTATTCAGGGTTAAAAACGAAAAACTGACTCATACCTGAATCTCAAAAGTATTATGTTGATTGAAAGAAGCTGGTCTCAAAAGATATTCAATCTTTTGAGGTCTACTTAAATAATTTTTGAAAACACAAAACTATAGTGATAGAGAACGACTCAGCGGCCACCAGAGGGTATAGAGTAGAAGGTGGGTGTGACTCTAAGGGGTGAGCACAAGGGCGTTTTGGGAGCAAATGGACTATTCTGAATCTTGCTTTGGGAGGTGGTTATACAAATCTACACATGTGTTATCTTTCATAGAATTATACAACTCTCCTCCAACACCAAATTTACTGTATAATAATTTTAAAACAAGTGGCTAAAGAAATTGCATATCATCTACTTTATACAGAGGATAAATGAATCTAATGGAAAACTTCTATGAACTGGGAGTCAGGCAACAGAAGTTGAACTCAGAATATACACACACAGGCAGCAGTAACACCTCACCATCATTTGTACGTTCTGATATACAAAGGGAGCAGATGACATTCTAGAGTTACTAGGCGTGCAGGCATGCCCAGTCACTCAGTCATGTTCGACTCTTTGCCACCCCATGGACTATAGCCTGCTAGGTTCCTCTGTCCATGGGATTTCCCAGGCAAGAATACTGGAGAGGGTTGCCATTTCCTTTCCCAAGGGATCTTCTTGACCCAGGGATTAAACCCACGTCTTCTGTGGCTCTTGCATTGGCCGGCAGAGTCTTTACCACTGAGCCACCTTGGCAGGCTGACTTACCAGGCATGACCTGGTAATTCTCTGAAACGGCAAAACATTGTGATCTATATAATTTCTTTCCCAGGAACTTTGCATTCATGGTCTCTGACAACAGCCTTAAGAGAGAAAATTGAGGTTTAGAGATATATGGTAAGGGCTTCCTGGGTTGCTCAGCTGGTAAAGAATCTGCATGGTTCAATTCCTGGGTCGGGAAGTTCTCCTGGAGAAGGGATAGGCGACCCACTCCAGTGTTCTTAGGCTTACCTGGTGGCTCAGACGGTAAAGAATCCATCTGCAACGCAGGAGACCTGGGTTCGATCCCTGGGTTGGGAAGATTCCCTAGAGGAGGGCATGGCAACCCACTCCAGTATTTTTGCCTGGAGAATCTCTATAGAAGGAGGAGCTGCAGTCCATGGGGTTGCAAAGAGTTGGACACGACTAAGTGACTAAGCACAGCAAAGCACATAGATGGGAAAGGATTTGCTCTGGATTTTTATCTCGGGTCTGTCTAGTTTTCAAATCACCATATAAAGTCACAGGAAAGATTACACTCTGATTCCTCTCTTTTTTCTGCTGAACCCTGAGCAGCCCTCTAATCCTCTGTGCTCTTAGAGTCCTGCTCTTCCTTTAATGCTATGGTTCTCAATGGGGGAGGGGGGAAGAGTCTGTACCCAGGGGACATGTGGTAACATCTGGAGGCATTTTTAGTTGTGACAGCTAGGGGAGAGGATGCTCTCTGGTGGGTAGAAGCCAGAGATGTTGTTAAACATCCTACAATGCACAGGACAGTCCTCTGAATGACTGTGCAGCACAATACGTCACTAGTGCAGAGGCTGAGAACTTCCCAGAAACATGTATTAAACACAACCATGGAGAAGACTCTTGAGACAGCAAGGAGGTCAAACCATCCTAAAGGAAATCAACCCTGAATATTCATTGGAAGGACTGATGCTGAAGTTGAAGCTCCAATACTTTGGCCACCTGATGCTAAGAGCTGACTCACTGGAAAATCCCTGATGCTGGGCAAGATTGAGGGCTGGAGAAGGACGAAATGGTTGGATGGCATCACTGACTCAATGGACATGAGTTTGAGTAAACTCCGGGAGGTGGTGAAAGACAGGGAGGCCTGGCGTGCTGCAGTCCATGAGGTTGCAAAGAATCAGACACGACTAAGCAACTGAACAACGACAACAGATGAGCCAGACACTTTGCTAGCTATGTTTATATTCTCATCTCACATATCTCCTCAAAACCCTTCTGAGGTATTAACTGATCCCCATTCATAGTTAAGAAGGTTCCTGTTCAGATGCATAAAGGAACGAGCTCGGATCCCAGTGATGAGACAAGAAGCAATGGGCATCCCAGGCCCTTGTGACTGCAAAGCACAGGTCCCCACAGTGAGGTGCCGAGCCCTCTGTATACCTCCCGTCACTTCCATCTTCTCTGGTCTCAAAAATCACCTCTTAGCCCTGAGAGATCTGCAAAGAAGGGGGAGCTGCTGAGCTGGCAAAAGGGTCCATCTGAATTTCAGAGGCTCCAGGAAACGGGTGGGGCCTGTCATCACTAAGAACCACCCAGGATTGCTCCATCCATCCCTCCCAGGGTGATAATGTGTATCCTCCACCCAAAGCATCCAGAGACACTCCCAGCTGCATGTTCTTGGATGACTTCCTCTGCTCTCCCACCAGCCCCTGTTGGCTGCTGGATCCATCACAGGGAGCCGGGCCCTCAGGCAGGGGGCCAGGGACCGGGACACATCATGGAACAATGCACTACAGTCAGTTTCCCACAATAACATCCGACGGACAGGGTGTGCCTGAGAAAATCAGCAGAACGCTTTAAAAACAAGTCCTGCAATCACCCTTGAGTGATTCTGCTTCAATCTCACCCTTTCATATAATGAGTGTCGACAGTGTCAACTGTTAAAAATGAGGAGTGTATAAGACAGAGGGAAAGAGAAGAGAGAAAGAAAGAGAAGAGACAGATTTCCCTGGCAGATTTTTTGTTCCAGTGGTGAAGACGCCATGCTTCCACTGCAGGGGGGCAGGGGTTCCTGGTTGGGGAACTAAGATCTTGCATACTGTGTGGCACAGCCAAAAAAATAAATTAAAAGTATTAAAAAAAAAGAGAGAGAGAAGAGAAAAAGAGAAGTAGGAAAATAGAGGGAAGGCAGAGGAACAGCGTGAGAGGAGAAGAGCATATGCCTACAGCTTAGCATGAAACTTAGAACACAGACGAACTCATGACAAGCAAGGAAGAACTCCAGACTGGGGACCCACTAGCAAACCAAGTGTGACCACATGGGGGGAAGCTAGTGCAGACCGACTCCAGACAACTGCAGCTGGGCCTCACGGCAGACCACGCACCCCAGTTCTCAAGCTCAGCAAAGCCGAGTCGTCCCCAAGGAGGCCCCAGGCTCCTGGCTGTGCTGTCCGGCCTCTGGGAGCCCGCAGTGTCCCTCCCCGGCCCCAGCACTGCACTCACAGTTCCAGGATCAGGATGACGTCCGTCTTGTTCTCGTAAACCTCGTGCAGGGTGATGACGTTGGGGTGCTGGATCTCCTTCAGGATGCTGACCTCCCGCTCGATGTCCTCGCGGCTCACGCCCCGCCGGCTGGATTTGGTCCTCCTTTTCTTGATGAATTTGGCGGCATACTGTAGACCGGTGCTTTTCTCACGGCATTTCTTCACGACTGCAAACTGCCCACTGCAGAGAGAGGGGAGAAGAGGTCCTGGGTCACTTATACATTCCTTGTGTGCTGAGCTTAGGCCCTCAGTCATGTCCCAGTCTTTGCAGCCCCGTGGACGGTAGCCCGCCAGTCTCCTCTGTCCATCGGATTCTACAGGCAAGAATACTGGGGCCCTCCTCCAGGGGATATATGTTCTTTATTGTTCACTAAAACCCAGGTTTGGGCAAGAATGTAGTCCCATGGGGTGGGGAGGGGTGGGAACAATAGGATTGTAAATAAGGACATCCAAATTGAGGGAAATTAATAAATTCAATAGAGAAATTTTTCTTCTATTTTGGCTCCATTAATTTAAGCCTCTTTCCTTATGAACAATGCTGCAAAGAATATAAATTTCTTTTCTTGAATTACATTTTATTAAATGGGTAATAACGCCTCCATTTCTCCATTCTCCTCCTTCTCCCCCATTTCAGATTCAGGAGCCACAGGAAGGAACTCCCTCCCACTGGGCCTCACTTCCTTGTTCTTGTCCTGTGTTCTAGGAAAGCAAGGGGTCAGGACCAAGGGGTCAGGGGCAGAAAATATACAGGGTCCTGCCTTCAATGATGTATTTCTAGCACGTACTAAGTTGCTTCAGTCATGTCCGACTCTGTGCGACCCTATGGACTGCAGCCCACCAGGCTCCTCTGTCCATGGGATTCTCCAGGCAAGAATACTGGAGTGGGTTGCCATGTCCTTCTCCAGGGGATCTTCCCAACCCAGGGATTGACCCAGCCTGCATTGCAGGCTGCTTCTTTACAGTCCTTCTTCCCAGTAGGGAAGCACAAATACTTATTCACTGAAACACATCAACAACAACAAAAATACAAGTATACCTCATTTTACTGGGCTTCACTTTATGGGCTTGACAGATATTTTTTACAATTTGAAGGTCTGTAGCAATCTAGTATTGAGCAAACCTATTTGCTCCATTTTTTCCAACAGCATTTGCTCACATGTCTCTGTTTGCAGTATTTCAAACTTTTTCATGATTATTACATTTGTTACAGTAGTTTGTGATCAGTGATCTTTGATGTTACTCCTGAAAAAAGATTACAACTTGCTGAAGGCTCAGATGATGTTTAGCAATTTTTTGCAATAAAATACTTTCTAATTAAGGTATCTATATTGCTTCTTTTTTTTTTTTTTTAGCTCTAATGCTATTGCACATCTAAGAGACTACACTATAGTGTGCAACTTTTTTATGTAGCCATTTTTGACTCACTTTATTGCAATCTTTGCTTTATTGACGTGGTCTGGAACTGAACTTGCAGTGTCCGAGTCTGCCTGTATACATTTTGTTCATACTCCAGGGACTGATAAGTCATATGCACTAGACATTTGTTGGCTGCTTCTTTAGTATCACCTCTCTCCTATGCCCTTCCCAAAATATCTACCACCAGGGTTTTTTGGTTCTGGGAAGCCAAGTCTACCCCCAACCATAGATATGGTACATGTAACCTAGACTAATCCAATTTGTGCACTATATTCTTTTTTTTGGAGAATGTGAAGACAAAGATTTTTGTTAAGACGCTTTGACACCCCTCTCCCCCCACAAAGCTGCTGCCCGTCATCTTGGGGCACTCCTGATCTAAAGCAGAGGCACCACTGGTCAATGGAAAGAAAACAGGTCTGTGGGAACCCTGTGGAGTGGGTGGATCCACCCTAGCCTGGAGTCGTCTGCCTTTAGACTTTTCAGCAACACAAGCCAATAAAATCCCCTTTACTGCTAAAGCCAGTTTGGTTGGGATTTTTTATTTCTTGCAGAGGAAAGCATCCTCAATTCGACAGCAGAGCCTCCTAGCCAGGTACTGTTGCTAAGTCGTGTCCAACGCTTTGCAATAAAAGAACACAATAACAGAGTTTGACAGAAAATAGTAAAGTGACCACGTAAGCAGGGCAGAAGTATACCCTTAGAGTAAGTATACCTTTGGGGTACACGACCCCAAGTAGTACACCCTTAAAGTCGGTGAGACACAATGGAAAGGTGCTCCCTATGTCAGTGCAGGCACCGTCACTTCCTCCTTAGCACCCTCGTGCCAAGGGCCAATCCAGCCATCACAGGATGGGCACACTTCTTGGCACTTGCTGGGGAACTGCTATGTGGAGAATTATCACAGTTACTTTTTGCTAGCTTTATTCTCCTCACATGAAGACAAAAGGAAGACAGAAAAAATCAAATTAAGGCTAATATTTTAATGTTAAAGAATGGATACATTAAAACGTTACTCATTTACTTTGGCGGTGGGAGGCCCATGAAGATTAAAAACACATAGTGAAGAATTATTTTTAGAGCAGTGTCAATTTTTTTTTGCATGACAGGTTATTAATACTTTCTTTCCCCAGTCAGCAGGATAGCAGAGACACTGAAGAATAAATCACATCAGAACACTATTAGTACCTACTGCCTGTAAGCTCACAACCTTAAAGAGTCACAGGAAAGGTTATGACTTTATTACAACCATTTTCTGATTTCCTTGGGGAGTGGAACACCGTGCTTTCCCTTTGGTAGGGGTTGGGGGGTGGGCTGCAGAGATGGGGCTTATGGAGAAAAGAGGAAAAACAGCCTGAATACAAAACAACATTAGCTTTCCAGAAGCCAGTGAAGTGCTGCTTGTAACCCCTCTCCTCAAAAATACAGTACCACTTCCCCACTAAGCATTCTCAAGGGGCCCCAGGACCCAGGCCAGCCACGGACCTCCAACCCACAGCAACACCTACTTCTAGGAGCTGGGTCCAAGCATGAGTCTAACAGCCACTTGTCAGGCAGACTTAAGGCAAACTTGGTGACTTGAATCACATTGCTTTAAAAAAAAAAAAAACAAAAGCAAAGAGCCAAAGGGGAAAAAAAAATCATCAGGAGAGCCACAAAGTATTTAAACGCAAGACCAAACTCAAAGATTTTCACAGCCAAATGTTCCATGTTGGCATTTGATGCTTTCAGTCATGGGAAGTGAGAGCATCAGGTTCCCAACTCTAAGGCTGAGTTCAAGTATGGTTCTGAACATCCTGTGTGTCGAGGCCAAGAGTGTGTGCACACATCTAAGATGACCGTGTCGCCCAGGTTTGCAGCCTAATGTCTGGAACCCATTCCCTCACCAAACCACTGAACCCTCAGTCACACTTCAGGGTCCCCTCATGAGCGGTTTGAAGGTGGCAGAGGCCCCTGCACAGGAGAAGATGTGATTCTAGGGCCCCTCATGGCAGCATGCTAGCATCTCAGCTAACTTTGGCTGCAGGATGTCAGACGAGGGTGTAGAACAATTTGGGGAAACACTGTTTAGACCTATCTCAATGCTGCCTCTTTAAAGACACTTTTCCTTACTTATCACCCACTCTTCAACAATCTGCCTCCCCATTCCTTTATTCCAATGAGTGTTGCATCCCCGAGTCCACAGGGCACCTCATACCCCTCTGTGGTACTTGCGATTTCCTGTTTCTTGCCCATTTCTGCCCCTCCCAAGACCATAATCCCTTCAGGACCAAGGGCTGATTGGTGCATCTTCTATCCCAAAGCCCTGGCTGCACAGCCCCTCCAGGAACCCATGCACAATGCAGAATTCTTGAATTCTGAGTCTATAACCTAAAAATCATGGGCTTCCCTGGCGGCTCAGTCAGTAAAGAATCTGCCTGCAATGCAAAAGACCAGGCTTTGATCCCTGGGTTGGGAAGATCTTCTGGAGAAGGAAATGGCAACCCACTCCAGTATTCTTCCTGGGAAATCCCATGGACAGAGGGGCCTGATGGGCTATGGTCCATGGGGTCACAAGAGACTTAGTGACTAACCACCACTACCAAAAACCAGAGGTGCTAAACTGAAGCTGCCTCACTATAATTCCATAGAACCATGAAGCAAAGATGGGCACAGACTGACTGTATCTGAGTCCTGGTTCCAATGCCTAGTAGCTGTGTACCTGTGGGCTTCAGTCAGTCAGTCAGTTCAGTCGCTCAGTCGTGTCCGACTCTTTTCGACCCCATGAATCGCAGCACGCCAGGCCTCCCTGTCCATCACCAACTCCCGGAGTTCACTCAAACTCATGTCCATCGAGTCAGTGATGCCATCCAACCATCTCATCCTCTGTCGTCCTCTTCTCCTCCTGCCCCCAATCCCTCCCAGCATCAGGGTCTTTTCCAATGAGTCAACTCTTCGCATGAGGTGGCCAAAGTATTGGAGTTTCAGCTTCAGCATCAGTCCTTCCAATGAACACCCAGGACTGATCTCCTTTAGGATGGACTGGTTGGATCTCCTTGCAGTCCAAGGGACTCTCAAGAGTCTTCTCCAACACCACAGTTCAAAAGCATCGATTTTTCAGCACTCAGCTTTCTTCACAGTCCAACTCTCACATCCATACATGACCACTGGAAAAACCATAGCCTTGACTAGACGGACCTTTGTTTGCAAAGTAATGTCTCTGCTTTTTAATATGCTGTCTAGGTTGGCCATAACTTTCCTTCCAAGGAGTAAGCATCTTTTAATTTCATGGCTGCAATCACCATCTGCAGTGATTTTGGAGCCCCCAAAAATAAAGTCTGACACTGTTTCCACTGTTTCCCCATCTATTTCCCATGAAGTGATGGGACCAGATGCCATGATCTTAGTTTTCTGAATGTTGAGTTTTAACCCAACTTTTTCACTCTCCTCTTTCACTTTCATCAAGAGGCTTTTTAGTTCCTCTTCACTTTCTGCCGTAAGTGTGGTGTCATATGCATATCTGAGGTTATTGATATTTCTCCCAGCAATCTTGATTCCAGCTTGTGCTTCCTCCAGCCCAGCGTTTCTCATGATGTACTCTGCATATAAGTTAAATAAGCAGGCTGACAATATACAGCCTTGATGTACTCCTTTTCCTATTTGGAACCAGCCCATGTCCAGTTCTAACTGTTGCTTCCTGATCTGCATACAGGTTTCTCAAGAGGCAGGTCAGGTGGGCTTGTTTATTGCTAATACTTAACCACTCTGCCTCACTTCCTTCATCTGTAA